AACAGCTTAACCCGCTGTGCCACAGTGCCCACCTCTTGTGTAATTTTTAAACAAGTTCTTTATATTCCTTCTACTCTTTTTAGTAATTATTTAAAAAAATGTTTTTCTTTTTCCACAGAAAGACAAATTCTTAGTAATGAGAATATGTACACTGTGGTGCTTATGTGATGTGCTTAGCCAGAGACTGCTAATTAAAAGAAAGATGAATGAACTATCCCTTGAATTAGGTTTGTTTTTTTTTTTAAAGATTTATTTGAAAGTCAGAGTTACACGGAGAGAAGAGAGGCTAAAAATGAAGATAAGCCCACCACAACTATCTCATCCCAAAAAGGAAGGAGGTATTAACTGCCCCATAGGCCTGAGGCTCAGGGCGTTAACCCACTGTGCCCCAGCCCCAGCCCCAGAATTTATTTATTTAAGAGAGAAAGAGGGGCCGATGCCGCGGCTCACTAGGCTAATCCTCCACCTTGCGGCGCCGGCACACCGGGTTCTAGCCCCAGTCGGGGCGCCGGATTCTGTCCCGGTTGCCCCTCTTCCAGACCAGCTCTCTGCTGTGGCCAGGGAGTGCAGTGGAGGATGGCCCAAGTACTTGGGCCCTGCACCCCACGGGAGACCAGGATAAGTACCTGGCTCCTGCCATCGGATCAGCGCGGTGCGCCGGTTGCAGTGCGCCGGCTGAGGCAGCCATTGGAGGGTGAACCAACGGCAAAGGAAGACCTTTCTCTCTGTCTCTCTCTCTCACTGTCCACTCTGCCTGTCGAAAAAAAAAAAAAAAAAAAAAAGAGGACAGACACTAGCTCTTCCATGCTCTGGTTGACTACCCTAAACACCTGCAATGGCTTGGCCCAGGGCCAGCTGAAACTGGGAGCCAGGAACTCATTGTAGGTCTCCCATGTGGATGGCAGACACTTGACTACTTGAGCCATTGTCTGTTGCCTCCCGGGGTGTACAATAGCAGGACACTGGAACTGAGGCTAGAACTCACACACTCTGATGTGGGGTGTGGGCTTCCCAATAAACCAAAATCTTGTCCATGGGCCTGGCGGTAGGGCACAGCAAGTTACATTGCCGTCTGCAGCACCAGCATCCCATATGGGCACCTGTTTGCTGCTCCGCTTTCCGATCCAGCTCCCTGCCAATGTGCCTGGGAAAGCAGCAGAGGATTGTAAAAGTGCCTTTGCTACCCACGTAGGAGACCCAGAAGAAGCTCCAGGCTTCTGGCTTCAGCCTGGCCCAGCCTCGGCTGTTGTGGCCATTTGGGGAGTGAACCAGTGGATGGAAGACCTCTCTCCTCTCTCTCTATCTCCCTGTCTCACTGTAACTCTTTCAAGTACATAAAATTTAACAACAGCAACAAATGAATTAGGTTTTAAACAGTGTCTAGTGCAATGTACTGATTTTGTTTTTATTATTATTTATTTGAAAAGCAGAGTTATGGTGGCAGGGGTGGTGGTGGTGGTGGTGGAAGAGGAAGAGGAGGAGTAGGAAAAGGAGGAGGAGGAGGAGGAGGAGAGAGAGAGAGAGAGATCTCTTCCATCTGCTGGTTCATTCCCCAAATGGCCACAGAAGTTGGGAATGTGCCTTGCCAAAGCCAGGAGTCTGTCTGGAGCTTCCTCTGGGTCTCCCATGTGGGTGCAGGGGCCTAAACACTTGGGCATCTTCCCCTGCTTTTCCCATACTGCTTGTCACTAGAAAGCTAGATGAGGCTGCGGCATTAGCTCCCAGATTTACGGAAGAGCACACTTGGGCACATCTGAAGCTGGAATGACTCAAATGATCCTGGTTACAAGGTCGGGAGAGGACCCCTATCCTCTGTGGGTTCCCCCTATGGAATTGGAATCGGCTGTGGGACTCTGGGAAGGGTGAACTTTAGCCGAGGCAGGACAGTTTTTACCTGTCTTCTGAGGTTGCGGTGGAGTCTGAAGTCTGGAGAGCTGCTGGGAAGAGGAGACACAGAAGGGAAGTTTGCTTGTAGCTGATGGCCTTGAGCTGTGGGGCTGTGTACTGTGGGCGGCCCCTACCAACATAAGAGAGTCATTGTTAACCACGCAGTAATTTTGCAGATGGTTAGGAGCTTGAAATTAGCCCAGGTTGGGAGTCATTATATCCCGGAAATTGGCAAACACCACTGCTACAAATCAAGGCTGCCTCTACTACTCAGTACAGTTTTACCGGAACGTCTTAGACACTCTCCTCTTCTCCACTTCACTAGCGTTCAAAGCCTTCCCAGACAGCAGTTAGGCTCAACCCCGCAATGAGTGCCTACTGTGGTGAAGGCACTGTGCCAGGTCCCAGGAGACAAAGGTGAGCCCGTCAAGTAACACTGTGACAGACAGGGAAGAGCGTGCAGCAGTGAGTCCTGGACTAGCTGTAGACCTCGGTCAGGACTTAACCTTGGATTACCCGTCTATAAATTGAGATAATAGTACGTATCCCCAAGCGTTCCTGAGCTAATTACTGAGAACATGTAACGCTCCTGGCACAGAGGTGCTCAGTAAGTGATAGTTCTAAGTGGCCACGATGTAAACAGAAGGCTTAATGTAGCTTGATGTAAGAAATAAAGGCGTGACTAGTTGTAGATCAGGAAATCTCCGCAGAGGTCTCAGTCCCCCAGGCAAGGATCTCATTTTCCGGGTAGATGATTCACAGTGAGCCTTCTCTGGTCCTTGTCAGAAGTTACTGAACTTTTTTAGTCCCTACAGCATGTTTTTACCTCTTTATAGCCTGTACCTCCTATACATGATTAATTTTAGACAAACCTGGATTTGGAGATAGCACATTGAGAATGAAATTCAAAGCCCTGATGATGACCTTTGGGAGCTGACCCCTGGCTACCTCGCTGACCTGGGTAGCTTCCACTTTCTTCCTGGCTCACTGGGCTGCACACATTGGGTCCCTTGCAGGGTCCTCGGTAGTTCAAGCAGGCCCTCAGCTGAGGGCTGTGCTGCCTCCATGTTTCCTCTGTTTAGACATAGTTTTCCCCCAGATTTTCTCATGCTTTGACTCTCGATTTCACTCTGGGCTCTGCTCAGGGGTCTCATTCTCACGCACTAGACACTGGTGCGGGAAGGGGCGGCTCATTTCAGCAGAGGTTCTAGAGGACAGGAAGGCAAGAAAAGATAGGACTGCACCCGCACGAGGAGGACTGGCTGCAGCAGGAGGGACGCAGAGGATGTGGCTGCTGAGAGGTGGTGGAGAGGGACATGTAAGGGAATTCTGGTTGGATTCTGTTTTCATAAAGTAGAAAAGTAGGCCAGGAGCTAGACGCAAGGTGTATGGGTGTTGGAAGTTTGAGGAAGAGGAGTAAGTATGAAACTGCCCTTTTGGAAATTGGGAAAACTAATAAGCCAGGGTGAGAAGCATTGCTGGGCTGCATCAAAAGCATATTTGACCTTTGTGTTCTTGACCTTCTAGTGAAGCCACTTTTATTTTCTGTGTTTTCCCCAGCAAGGTTTTGCTGTTTTAAGTGGGATGTGGAATGTATGGACAGTGAGGTTTTATAAGGGTGGGCCTTGCCCGGGTTGCTACAATTGATAAGTCTGTACCTAGAGAGCTACTGAAGGTGTGAGCAGAGAAGGCTTGGGTGTCAGAAAGATTCTTCTAGCTCAGTATGGTGTAGATGTATGTGAAAGAGGTGCAACAATCTAATCCAATAGGAATTAGTCTGTTTTTGTGTTGCTGTAACAAAATGCCTGAGGCTGGGTGAGAAAAGACAAGAGGTTTGTTTGGCTCATGATGTTGGCACTGGAGGATCCAAACTGCATGGCCCCAGCGTCCTGTTGAGAAGCCCTGACACTGAGAAGCAGAAAGGGGACTGACTGCCTATGAAGGGACCAAGTCACTTTGTAACAACCTGCTCACCTTGAGAACTTCCTCCATCCTCCATCCCAGCCTACACTGAGAGAACAGCATTAATCTATACCCCAGGTCAGACTGCCTTCCACTAGGCCCCACCTCTTAAAGGGTCCACCACCCCAACATTGTACACAGGACACCAGGCTTCCATAACATTAATGGTTGTGAGATTAGCCACATCCAAACTGTGGCGGGGACCCTTGATCAATCCTTCACGGATCTGCTCCGGAACCTGGAGGGTCTTTCCCCAGCATTTTCTGAGAGCCTACTGTATACCAGGTTCTGGGGAACAAGACAGATCAAACAAGGTTTGCCTTTAGAAGGCGCTCATGGATTTAGAAGGTTTGTAATTTTTATGGTATTTGAGAAGAGGGAAGGAGCAATTAACACTAGGTAGGAATGGAGGAAGGCCGTCCCTAAAGAGGTGACATTTCAATGAGCTTTAGAGAATTAGGCCCTCAGGAGGGAAGATAGTTTTAGACAGGGAAAATAACATGGACCCAGTCTAGAGATTTAAGATGCATAGAACAAATGCTTCATGGCGAAAGATGGTGGAAGACGAGGTCCTTCCTCCATTTACTAGCAACGAAGTAGAACTGAGGAGGCCTCTCTGCTTGAGAACACAAGGGTGAGACACCGGGGCCCAGAGCAGCAAGAAGGGTGGCGGAGAAGGGTGAAACACGTGTTTTTAAAATGGAAATTTCTTTTTTAACTTAAAAAAATGTGGAACTACTCTGGGGAATTTGTGCTGTAATTTGCTCAGCTAAGAACGACGTGCAGTTGAAATGTCTGTGTGCTGTCTGAAAATATTAACTACGATCTCTGCCACCTGTCTGACCATGCAAGATGCTGTCAATGGCAAAGCTCTTGCAATCAATCCGTTAAATGACTTAAACTTCGTCTCTATCCTAGGCTATGCTTTTGAAACAAGTAGTTTCTGCACATTTTGAAGAATGAGAGTTCGTGACCGAGCCTATGGGTTGATTTTATCTAGATTAAATGAAGTAAGGCTCGGAGGGCTTGGCTTGGAGTCCAGGGGTCGATGTTACATGTTCTCCTTTAGTCCCCGTTTTCCTCTTCCTCACATGTTCTGTTCTTCGCTCCTGAAATCATGTTGTTTCCTGAATACCCTGTGCTAGACCCAGTCTGTTCTAGGGACCCCAGAATCAGGTGAGGCACTCCACACCTGATCACCATCCCTGGGAAGTGTGGTTTGCTGTCTGCAGCGTGTGTGCATTTACAAGACCAGAGGCTAAACTAGGCCTCTTTCATCTGGTAGTGCCTGCCAGTTCAGAGGGGTGGCTTCTCCCAGCTGTTAGCAGCCAGCAACCCTTCTGGAGTGTGCCTAAGTTGGCATTAACCAGACAAAGAAGTGGGAAAGACCTTGCTTTCTTTATTTATCAGCAGGTGTTCATAGCTGAGTAACCGCATGAGTAAGAGCAGTGAGTATGTGAGAGCATGGCACACTCGGGCAGCGGCAGGTGGCTTGGCACGACTGGAGTTAAACATGCTTTTGGCTTCCCTTAAGACAACACAAACCTAAGCCGAGTGTGCTAAGGAGGCAGTCCTCGGAAGCGGAGGTTAGGCGTTGGTGAGAATTTGTCATTTCTTTTCAGGATTAGTCAGGATGAACCTGATGTTTCTTTAACAAAGCCTGGTAACTTCATTTAGGGAATTACCCATCTGACTAACCCATTCCCTGAGGGCAGTGGGTCCCGAACTTTGCTGTCACCTTCGGAGTTTTTGGAGATCCAGATGCCCAGGTCACACCCCGTGCCAGTGACATCACAGTGTCTGGGGCAGGGACCAGACACCCCAGTTCCCAAGCGCCTCACGTGATGACCGTGGAGAGCCGCCACTGCCCTGGGGCATGGGCTGGCCTCTTCAGTTAAAACACAAAAATTCTTACTTTCTTCCTACTTGCAAGCAGTCCCTGCATCGTTTTTTGCGCGTTTCCCGGTCTGGGGGCGGCCGAGAGCCGGCAGCGGATGTGGTCTCACCCAATTAGCAGGTTGCACTTTGCTAAGCTGCTCAGCATAGGCTGCCAGGGCTGCACGAGGGCTGGATTTTTGCTTTGTCATCCTGACTCTGGCTGTTTGCCCGCCCGCTCCGAGCAGGGCGTGGCTTCGCGTCGCTCCTGGGAACCTGCAACCCTTTCACCCCAGTTTGCCTCAGTGCCGCGCTTGCATCGCCACCGCAGGAGGTGGACGGAGCCCTTCGGAACAGCCAGCATCTTCATCACCGTCGCGTTCATGTAAGCTCTGCGGCAGACTGGGAACAAAGCCCCTAGCCCGAGGGCGCGAGCACGCCGGGACGTTTTGCTGGCGGGGGCCCGGAGCCCCGCGCCCGACCGAGGGGTGCTTTGGGAAGGCAGGGGCAAAAGGGGATGTGCTAGGACCGGGCCGAGTGGTGGAGAGGCGCGGGGCGGCGTGCGAAGCCTCCCCCGGCCGCGGAGAGCGTCCGCATTCGGGCGGGCGGCCCGGCCCCCTGGCGGCGGCTGCTTTCCTTCCTCTTGCCCTTGGTGGGGACGCCTGCGGGATGTCTGGGCTTTTACAGTGGGGGTTTTGTATGATTTCCCAGAGCTGCAGTCTGGACGTATGGATGACAATGCGATGAATAGACTGGCAGATTGACAGCACGGAGAGTCTATAAGACTCCTTTCCAGGAACATTCACACCGCCTAATCCCTAGAAATCCCGAGAGATTGGCAGAACCCGTGTGATCTCACGTTTTACAAGTGTCACGCGCAGCCCGACACGGGCTACTGACCGGGGCAGCAGCGAGACCGGGAGCCAGCGCTTGCCTCGGCGGGGCCGGGCCGGGCAGGGCAGCGGTCGGCGCGCTGGCTCTGCGGCTGGTCGCGGCGTGGGCCCGGGCGAGCCGCTTGGCCCCTCTGAGTGAAAAGCACTTGACAGCAGCCGCTTCCGGAGGGTGGCAGTGGAGCTGGGCCGCGAAGCTCTGTGGAAGCGGCACCTGTGTTCCTGTTGGGCGGGTGCGCATCCGAGCACTGCTGGGCCTCTTGTTTCGTGGACGGGCCTGACGTCAGGGCCTCGAGGAGTCGATTGTATAAGGCCCTGCCTCCTCCTCTGAGTTCACCCTTTCGTGAAGGTGGGCCCTTAGTCCCGGGTCTCGTGCTGCACTGCTTTAAGATTGGGGGCGGAGGGGCACGCTAAGTCGGCAGGGGGTTTTTCATGATGTCCCGCCGCGGCTTCCCACTTGAAGGAACTGTTGGAAGTTGAACTTTGACCCTCTCAATAGGTGCAGAGTTAAAAGCAAAATCAAACTGGGCGGTGTTTTGTGAGAGCTGAGGGAACCGCGGCGTAAGCCGCTTACTGGACACTGAACTGTGCGTTTCCTCTCAGCCGAGCCCGGCCACGAGGTGGCCCCGGCCGGAACTCCGACGCCGATCGCTGGCCTTGAGGCCATGTGTTCAGCCAGGGTACAGGTTGGCGGGGGCCGGAGTCCGTGCCAGATTGTGGGTTTTAGTCACGCTGCGAAAAGGAGCGAGTCACGGTGAGTGGCTCGGGAGCGGCCCGCGGGCACGGCCGGCCGGGCTGGGCGGGGCCGGCCCGCGGCGCCCGCCGGAAGCCCCGCCCCGCTCCTCCCCGCCGCCCCGCGCGCGCGCCGGACGCGCCGCCGCGGCCCTCACACGCTCTGCTTTTGTGCACAGAGGACGGCCCGGGCCTGCACGCCGCGCTCGCCGAGCTGACCGCCGACCCCGACGTGCCCGTGGTGTTTGTGAGGCAGACCAAGATAGGCGGCCATGGTCCAACCCTGAAGGTAGGAGACGGCGGCGCGCCTCTGTGCCGGCCCGAGCTCGGCGGCCGCGGAGGGGGCGCCGGGGAGGGGGCGTGACGGGAAACGGGGTACTTGTGGGCGTCTGTTGCAGTAACGTCTTCAGGGGTCCTTCGTCTCCTCTTTTCCTTTCTTCCCCGGTGACTCACCATTTTTAGTGTTAGCTGCTAATCGTGGGTTGTTTGGGGAAGTGCTCATCTGCGTCATACTAGTCGGCCCTACCGTCTTCCTCCGGACTTCTCGGAGGGGTGGGCGGCCCAGGGCGCCTTGGCTCCGAAGGGACCTCCCAGCAGTTCGTTGTCCGTCAGGTCCTACCGGCTGCCGCTTAACCAGGTGGGGCGGCCTGGTGTGCATCCGTTACCGCAGCGCCTGGCTTCGATGTTTGCACATTCTTTCTCTCCTTATGCATTTGTGTCTGTAGCGGTTAAGAAACTGCCTATTTGCATACTTTCACTTTGCCCACGGTAAATGTAAAAATACATTTAGATGTATGCACCTTGAGGAAAGGAGAGTGACAGTTATTTGCAATTTGATTTACTGCCTTTTCTTCTGAAGGACTTTAACTTTTTTTAAAAGGCTTATTTATTTTATTTGAAAGGCAGAGTTACAGAGAGAGAGAGAGAGGACTTCCATCCACTGGTTCACTCCCCAGATGACCGCAACTGCCAGAGCTGTGCCCATCTGAAGCTGGGTGCCATGAGTCTCCTCCGGGTCTCCCACGTGGGTGCAGGAGCCCAAGGGCTTGGGCCATCTTCAACTGCTTTCCCAGGCCATAGCAGAGAGCTGGATCAGAAGTGGAGCAGTCGGGTCTCAAACCGGCTCCCAGGTGGGGTGCTGGCACTGCAGGCAGCGGCTTTACCCGCTACCCCACAGCTCTGGCCTTGAATCTTACCTTTTAAGACTGAATATACAGGAAGTGGAGCTAGACTAATGAAGTGGAGCGGATTAATGAAAAGTAGTTAAAGGAGATAAAAGGTTTTCAGCTGTATGTAAAACTTACAGAATTACTCATAGTTTTAGTTTACAGGTAAAATGAGGTAGAGGTCTATTAATATTTCTGCTGATTATTTTCTTCACCTCGTCATGAGTTTACATTTACAAAGTCATCTAGGCATTTGGGAATACAAAAAAAAAATCACTGTTTTTTATAAGCGTTGGAGCTCACTTTGATATGACAATATATAGCAGTATATAACAGTACAACAGTGCCCTGAATGGAAAAGCATTCCAGTAAGAATTCCTCACTTAGCACATTTCTCAAGGGAGCTCACCATTCTGCTTTGAGCATTTGATTTAGTTTTTTCTTTTTTTAAGATTGATTTATTTATTTGAGAAGCAGAGTTCCAGACAGAGGGAGAGAAAGAGATCTTCCATCCACTGGTTCACATCCCCAAATGGCCACAACAGCCAGAGCTGGGCAGATCTGAAGCCAGAGCCAGGAGCTTCTTTCTGGTCTCATGTGAGTGCAGGGGCCCAAGCACTTGGGCCATTCTCCACTGCTTTCCCAGGCCATTAGCAGGGAGCTGGATCAGAAGTGGAGACTTGGTGTCCACACGGGATGCTGGCACCACAGGCGGTGGCTTAACGTACTAGGCCATAGTGCTGGGCCCTGATTTGGGTTTTAGTGAGCATTAAGAAATGGAAAAGAGAGAGAGCTGAGGCAGATTGGTTGGAATGGTGTGTGAATTTCCAACCAGTTGTCCGCATGTGGGGGCCAAGTGGTGGGGTCTTGAAAATTTTTAGGGTATATTGGGTTTGAGTGGAGAAAGGCATTTACTAAGTGTGGACTTGACTGATTATGGAATTAGGGCTGTAAATTTAAAGTTCACCCCTTCAAAAAAGAAAAGATGGAGAGTTCATATTTAACCTAAAGCTTGAATAATAGAGAGGGAGCTTTCCAAATTGTTAGCTTTTCCTTTCTCCTGTTGATGTCAGCTCTGCCTTTGTCCCCCTTCCGCCCCTCAAGACCACCAACGGCAAAACCTGCCTTGCTTCTGCAGTGAGTGTGCTACAGAAGATAGGAGAGTCCTGCTGCGGGGAACCGGCGTATGCAGGTGCCTGCCTAGAGGAAGGTTTCCAGAGATGTGGTTCTCTGAAGCAATGCACATGCACCTGCAGACTTCCTGGAGTGTTTGTTAAACATGTCTGCGGGGTGGGAGTTGTGCAGCAGGTTAAGCCTCAGCTTGGGACACCCTCATCCTGTCTGGAGATTGGCTCTTCCACTTCGGATCCAGCTTCTTGCTAACATGCACCATGGGAGGTGGTGGAGGATGGCCCAAGTACTTGGTTTTTTCTGCCACCAACGTGATAAACCTGGATGAAGTTCCTGCCTCCTGGCTTCCACCTGGCCCAACCCTGGCTGAGGTGGGCATTTGGGAAGTGAACCAATGGATGGAAAAATCGGTCTCTGTCTCACCCTGCCTTTCAGATACATAAATAAATTTTCAAAAACAGTGGAGAGGCTATATGAAATGTTACTTCCCTAAGGAGTTACCATTTGCTGTTTTCTAACTAATAATTTTTGGGTATTATGCAATAACAGTCCTCTGTTTACCCCAATTCTGATTATCAACTGATCTTTAGCAAATTACCTTATACATTAGTCTCAAACTTAATGTTTCTTGTAAGAATTACCAGGGGGTTCATCTCAAGAAGATAAATAATAATAAAAAAGACACTTTAACCCAGAATAGAAAAAGGGACATGTGCTGTCTGTGGCCAGGGCTTGTGTATCCATGTGAAAAATTGGAACTAAAGCACTTCTAAGTTAATGCTGAAAGACATGTGGCTTTCATGAAGTCTTTGTTTGTAAGGCAAGAATCTGAGTTTTCCTATAGGGAACCTGTCTTGTCTGTAAATCAGCTTCTCTACATTGAAAGCATTTGCAGAAATGCCTATTGGTAGTACTGAGAGGAAAAGCAAATTAAATGAGAAAACTGGAATCCTGACAGGCAAGTCTTTAGTAGTTTGAGCTAATCTTGAGAGATAAGAGTAACACTGACGACATAGGATTGAAATACAGTAATGTCTTCAAGGCTGTAGCAGGAAGGATGACCAACACAAAACAAGGTACAGTTAACACCCAGGAAGTTATGCAGAAACTTGGGGTTGTGGTAGGACCTCAGTGACCCCATGTTTCAGCCTCGGTGCATAGACACTAAAACAAAGGGAGGTCTCCTTTTTTGTTTGTTTGTTTTTATTTATTTATTTGACAGGTAGAGTTATACACAGAGAGAGAGAGAAAGGTCTTCCTTCCATTGGTTCATTCCCCAAATAGCTGCTACGGCTGGCACTGCACCAGTCCGAAGCCAGGAGCCAGGTGCTTTCTCCTGGTCTCCCATGCGGGTGCAGGGGCCCAAGCACTCGGGCCATCCTCCACTGCCTTCCCGGGCCACAGCAGAGAGCTGGACTGGAAGAGGAGCAACCGGGACTAGAACCTGGTTGCCCATATGGGATGCCGGCGCCACAGGCAGAGGATTAACCAAGTGAGCCACAGTGCCAGCCCCTCAAGGAGGTCTCCTTTCTAAGCTAACTTCTGAGTTACCAGAAACCGGGCTCTTAACTGATTAGACATCAGGAAATCAGTGGTAATTGAGTAGCTCTCTGAACATTTTTTCTTACTACTTTATGGAAGCTTTTGATTCCTTCCTTTGAGATAATCTCTGAGGCCTGAGGAGCACTGGAGGATGAATTTGAAGATGAGGGACTTGAACAGGTGTCCTGGCTTACATTAGAAGAAAATAAGGGGTCAAGACTGCTGAGATACAAATGAGGCATAGATTATTTTGGCTAAGTACATTAATCTAGTGCTGATAATAGTGAATTTTTTTTTAAGGTTTGTGTATGTATGTGAAAGAGTTACATAGAGGAGCCAGGAGAGTCTTCTGAGTCTCCCATGTGAGTGCAGGGGCCCAAGGACACGGGCCATCTGCTGCTGCTTTCTCAGAAGCATTAGCGGGGAGCTTGATTCGAAGTAGGGCAATGGGGACTCTAACCAGTGCCCATATGGGATGCTGGCACTGAAGGCAGTGGCTTAACATGCTATGCCACCAGCCCCAGTAGTAAAGTTTTACCAGTTGTCAATCCATGTTGAGACCCAGTGCCTCCCAACCCCCCAAAGTACCACTTTTACCAGGTGACAGCACAAACCTCTCTTTGTGCCTGTTTTTTTACAGTAGTGTCACTACTCCACTGGTGCAGGCTTCACACTTCCTCCTGAACCTTTCCTGCTGTTCACCCACAGAGGCTGACTGTTGCCACGCATCTGCCTACTGCCCCCCTTTACTTAGGCTGGGACTGGGGTACTCATGTCCCCTGCCCGAACCACTTCCACAGCCTCTAGCTGGCTTCGGAACCCCTTCCTCTGCCAGCCCATCTGCTGACAGTCATCTTCCTGATAGCTCCCTCCCTGCCCCCAGATCAGCATCCAGAATCAAGAGTAGGTGCCCCTTTACTTGGTATTCTTGCCCTTGGGGATCTTGCCCCAGCCCGCTTTTCTGGTTGTCTGTTGCTCTGCTTCCTCACTTACTGGAGGCTCCTGGGAATAATGTCGCCACTGCGGTTAGGAAACTTCTCCTTTGTTCTGTTCTTTGTTCAATTCCTGACATCTCTTCCAGTCCAAGCTTATTTTGCAACTGCCTTACCTGTTCAGAGAACAGTGTCCTTGCCTTCTCTTTGTTCCCACAGTATCTCCATAAATCTTTGTGGACAAGGAGGAATCCTGCCAGTGGTAATTTTTGGCTAGTGTATCAAAGGTGGAGAGCAAGGCTTATTCTTTGTGTCAGTGGTCCAACAGGTAGGCAAGTGAACGTGCTTTCTAACAATGGTAAAAGCCGTTCATTCCAGTGCCTGTTATGTGCTAGACTTCAAGTGCTGTGCTGCTTAGTTGATGAAACCCTCACGACAGTCTCAGGAAGGGCAGGTGGTGTCCAGGTGCAAGAACGAAGGCCTGGAGGATGTCAGGAGGATGCTCAGCTAGGTGACAG